TCGCCCATTCGGGCAGGTATGCTGCTGTGGCAGGCGCCTGCTTCGCTGCATTGCTGCGCAGACCCGCTTGTGGATCGCGTCCCAGGCGGCTTTTTGCGTTAGATGTGGGCGACGCGCATCGCAGTTCCATTGGCGAACCCTGGGCCGTTTACGGCAATACGCATGAGCTTGAAAGATCGTATCAATGATGACATGAAGGCCGCGATGCGCGCACGCGACAGCGAGCGGCTCTTGACAATCCGCCTGCTGCTCGCCGCGATCAAGCAGCGCGAGGTGGACGAGCGCACGATGCTGGACGACACGGCGATCGTGGCGATCGTCGACAAGTTGATCAAACAGCGCAAGGATTCGATTTCGCAGTTTCAGTCGGCTGGCCGCGAGGACCTGGTCGCCAAGGAATCGGCTGAACGGGTGGTGCTGCAGCAGTATATGCCTGTGCAGCTGTCCGACGAGCAGGTTGCTGAGCAGGTGCGGGCCGCGATTGCGCAGGCAGGCGCAGTCGGGTCGCGAGACATGGGCAAGGTCATGGCGCTGCTCAAGGGTAGGCTCGCCGGCCGTGCGGACATGACGGTGGTTTCCGCGCGGGTCAAGGCGGCGTTGTCGGCGACGTAAGAACGCCGTGCGACCGTGATTCCGCACTCATTCCTGCAGGATCTGCTGAACCGCGTCGATATTGTCGACGTGGTGGGGCGATACGTGCAGTTGAAGAAGGCAGGGGCGAATTTCAGCGGGTTGTGCCCGTTCCATAACGAAAAGAGCCCGTCGTTTACCGTTAGCTCGACCAAGCAGTTCTATCACTGCTTCGGCTGTGGCGCGCACGGTACCGCGATCGGGTTCCTGATGGAGCACGCGGGCCTGACGTTTCCTGAGGCCGTCGGCGAGCTGGCGCAGTCGGTTGGGCTCACCGTACCGCGCGAGCCCGCACGGAATTCGTATGGTGGCGCACCGGACGCATCGATGGCCGGCGCCGGTGCCCGGCCGGTCAATCCGGGCGATGCGCGTGCGCTTGTCGAGGTCATGCAGGCTGCGGCCGACTACTATCGCAAGCAGCTTCGCGGGGCGCCGAACGCTATTCAGTATTTGAAAAAGCGTGGCCTGACCGGTGAGATTGCGATGCGCTTTGGGTTGGGCTATGCGCCGGATGGCTGGCAAAACCTCGAAGCGGCATTTGCCAACTACCGCGACGACGCGCTGGTCGAAGCGGGGCTCGTGATCGTCAGCGAAAAGGCGTCGAGCAGCGATGGTGTGCGTCGCTACGACCGCTTTCGCCAGCGTATCATGTTCCCTATCCGCAACGTGCGCGCACAGCTGATCGGCTTCGGTGCGCGCGTGCTCGACGGCGGCGGCGAGCCGAAATATTTGAATTCGCCCGAGACGCCGTTGTTTAACAAGGGAACGGAGTTGTACGGCCTGTTCGAGGCACGTCTTGCGATTCGTGAGAAGGGTTTCGTGCTGGTCGTGGAAGGGTACATGGACGTCGTCGCGCTCGCCCAACTCGGCTTACCGAATGCGGTGGCGACCCTGGGAACCGCGTGTACGCCGCTGCATGTCCAAAAATTGATGCGGCAGACCGATACGGTGATCTTCAGCTTCGATGGCGATGCGGCCGGACGGCGTGCCGCGCGACGTGCGCTGGATGCCTGCCTGCCGCACGCAGCGGACAATCGCACGATCTGCTTCCTATTCTTGCCGTCCGAGCATGATCCGGACAGCTATATCCGTGAGTATGGCGCGGATGCATTTGCGGACCAGGTCGAGCGCGCGATGCCATTGTCGCAATTTCTGCTCAACGAAGTGCTTGCGGACAAGGCGGTCGACCAGCCGGAAGGCCGAGCCAAGGCGCTGTATGAGGCGAAACCGCTGCTGCAGGCGTTGCCGCCCAATGCGCTGAGAGCGCAGATCCTGCATAGGCTGGCCGATCGGCTGTCGACGCCGTTCGACGAGGTGGCGCAGTTGTGCGAAATCGGCTCGCGGATGGCGCCTGCCATGCGCGGCGCGCCGGCGCGCGTCGATCGCCGCCGCGTCACTGGGCACGAGCATCGGGCGCTGCGTAACGTGATCATGCATCCGCGCGTCATCATGAGGCTCGATCCGCAGGATTGCGACGCGCTGGCGACGCTGGCCCGGCAACGCGCATTGTTCGCCGAGACGATAGGCCACGCGCGGGCGCTCGGCGATGCGGCAGAGTACCGGCTGTTGAAGGATCTGCTGCTTAATTCTCCGAATGCGTCAACGTACGAGGAAATCTTCCGGGAAATTCTGGTCTATGATGAAAACGTACGCGATTTGCTGCATGCGCCGCAAGACGATGATAGCGTTCAGCGGCGCCACGAGCAGGAGTGTATCGCGGCCGACGAAGTGAAGGCAGTCGTGGCGAAAATGCGCTATGACGCTTGCTGCGAACGGCTTGAAATCCTGTCCCGGCAGCCAAAGCTGGATGCGGAGCAGGCCAGGGAGTTTTCGGATCTGTCGCAAAGGCGCGCCGAGCTGAAGCGGAGGCTGGCTGCATCGCCGCTGCCGGAGGGAGCTTAGCCACCGTGCTATAATTGAGGGTTTCAGTGGGGTGGTTTCCAGGCGGAAACTCGATGGCAAAGACTGGGGACGGAAAAAGGGCGGCATCGGATCGAATGCGCGGGTCGGCAACAAGTAAAGGCGACCCAGTCCGCGGCGAAACTGGCTCCTTCCGCACGCGGCGTGCTGGCGAGCATCGCGTGATCCAGCCCGCGGGAAGCGGCGAGGCGATCCTGCGCGGCGGCGAAGTCCGTCGAGCGGACTGCGAAGCGGGCAGCCGAAAAATCCCCGAAGCGGGCGAATTGGAAGGTCGTGGCGACCGGGCAGCAGTCGGATAGCCGCGCAGATGGAGTACCCACGGTTGAAGCGGCGGCCGTCGAAGAGCCGCGAGTCGAGACCAGAGCCGTAATGGCGACATTCATGACGAAAAAGCTGAACGAAATACCAGTTGACGATGCAGTAGGCCAAGTCGATGAGTCGGTCGGCTCGAGCGCACCGGTGAAGGGCGAGAAGATCAAGGCGCGCGATCGCCGGGCAAAGGAAAAGGCGCTGCTGAAGGATGCGTTTGCGTCCCATCAGCCGGGTACCGCTGAGGAGCTCGAGGAGCGCCGCTCGAAGCTGCGCGCGCTGATTAAGCTCGGCAAGGAGCGCGGCTTCCTGACGTACGCCGAAATCAACGATCACCTGCCGGACAATTTCGCGGAAACCGAGGCGATCGAGAGCATCATCAGCACGTTCAACGACATGGGCGTGGCGGTGTACGAGCAGGCTCCGGATGCGGAAACGCTGCTGCTCAACGACAATGCGCCGTCGGTGTCGTCCGACGACGAGGTCGAGGAAGAGGCCGAAGTCGCGCTATCGACGGTCGATTCCGAGTTCGGACGCACGACCGATCCGGTGCGCATGTACATGCGCGAGATGGGCACTGTCGAGCTGCTCACGCGTGAAGGCGAAATCGAGATTGCCAAGCGCATCGAGGACGGCCTGAAGCACATGGTGCAGGCGATCTCGGCCTGTCCGACGACGATTGCGGACATCCTCGCGATGGCCGAGCGTGTTGCGAACGACGAAAGCCGCGTGGACGAGTTGGTCGACGGCTTGATCGATCCGAACGCGGAAGATGCCGATGGCTTCAGCGCATCGGACGCGGATGCGATCGAGTCCGAATCCGAAAACGCCGACGAAGCCGACGAGGAAGAAGAGGACGAAGGCGCGGGCGCGGCTGCAGCGAGTGCCGCGCAACTCGAGGCGCTTAGGCGCGCGTCGCTTGAGCGCTTCGCGCTGATCGGCGAGTGGTTCGACAAGATGCGCCGTGCGTACGAGAAGGAGGGCTACAAGTCCACGTCGTATCTGAGGGCGCAGGAAGCGATCCAGGCCGAACTGATGTCGATCCGTTTCACCGCGCGTACGGTCGAGCGGCTGTGCGATACGTTGCGCGCGCAAGTCGATGAAGTACGCCAGGTCGAGCGCCAGATCCTGCACATTGTCGTCGGCAAGTGCGGGATGCCGCGCGCGGAGTTCATCGCGCGATTCCCGAGCAACGAGACGAACCTGGAGTGGGCGGAGCAGATCGTTGCCGAGGGGCATCTGTACAGCGCGGTGCTCGAGCGTAATATCCCGGCGATCCGTGAGCAGCAGCAACGGCTGATCGACTTGCAGGCGCGCGTTGTGTTGCCGCTGAAAGACCTGAAGGAAACCAACCGCCAAATGGCGGCGGGCGAGTTGAAAGCGCGGAAGGCCAAGCGCGAAATGACCGAGGCCAACCTGCGGCTGGTCATCTCGATTGCGAAGAAGTACACGAACCGTGGTTTGCAGTTCCTGGACCTGATTCAGGAAGGCAATATTGGCCTGATGAAGGCGGTCGACAAGTTCGAATATCGGCGTGGCTACAAGTTCTCCACGTATGCGACGTGGTGGATTCGCCAGGCGATTACGCGCTCGATCGCGGACCAGGCGCGCACGATCCGAATTCCGGTTCACATGATCGAGACGATCAACAAGATGAACCGGATCTCGCGGCAGATCCTGCAGGAGACCGGGCTCGAGCCCGATCCGGCCACGCTCGCTGAAAAGATGGAAATGCCCGAGGACAAGATCCGCAAGATCATGAAGATCGCGAAGGAGCCGATTTCGATGGAAACACCGATCGGCGACGACGACGATTCGCACCTGGGTGATTTCATCGAGGACAACAATACAGTGGCGCCGGCGGACGCGGCATTGCATGCGAGCATGCGCGATGTTGTGAAGGACGTGCTCGACTCGTTGACGCCGCGTGAAGCGAAGGTGCTGCGGATGCGCTTCGGCATCGAAATGAGCACGGACCATACGCTCGAGGAAGTCGGCAAGCAATTCGACGTGACGCGCGAGCGGATTCGGCAGATTGAGGCGAAGGCGTTGCGCAAATTGCGCCATCCGAGCCGCTCTGACAAGCTGAAGTCGTTCCTCGAAGGTAACTGAGCTTAATTTTGCCTCATAATGACTGATTCGGGCCTCTAGCTCATGCTTGGTTAGAGCAGCGGACTCATAATCCGTTGGTGCCGTGTTCGACTCACGGGAGGCCCACCATATTTTATGCGGCTCGCAGCGATGCGGGCCGTTTTGTTTTGTTCCGCAAATAGCGCGCTGTTCCGCAATTTTCGCTATCGGGTAGGCGGTGACCTGTCCGCACCTCCGAAGTTTACATTTTCAGTGGGTCGGACAGGCCGCAAGCTGAAGCTTTTCCGCAGCAGCTTGCAGCCGGTTGTCCCGTGTCCATAGCGTGCAGCCTTCGGTGAGCCGGACTGCGGCAAGCAAATGTGCATCGACATAGCCGATTCCGAGGCCGTGAAGCGGCGCGCTATCGATCAAGCGAAGCACCTCTTCGTCGGTTGCCGTGACAGCAATCGGCAGGCCGTGAAGCGCGTCGAGCACCGCCTGCCGATTGCGCATGCTGCCAAGTGCGAGTTCACCGATCACGAACGGATGAGCCAGGACGCGCTCTTCATCGAGCAGCGCAGTTAGCATAGCATCGCCCGAGCGCAGGTGATCAATCCATACCGAGGTGTCAACGAGGATCATGCCGACTCCGACTGTCGACGGGGAATCGGCAAGAGCTCGGGCTCGCTGCTCCCAAGCCGCGCGAGTCGGCGGGCGCTTTCACGCGCGATGAGCGCGCGCAGTCCTTCGCGCACGAGCGTGGGGTTTTCGTCGATGCCCGTCAGTTGTTTGGCCTTCTTCAGCAACTCGTCGTCCAAGGATAAGGTGGTTCGCATGGCGTATCTCCAAAACGGCTATACACTCATTTTAGCATCAAGTGATGAAAATTTTGATGCTGATCGATGGCCGACGGGGGAGTGCGCTAAACCGGGGTCGTTGTACTTTCGTACAGAAGTGTGTCACGAAACGACTCGAACACCAGCTCTTCACCATGCAAATCCAACCTTCCTGGGCGCTCGTTGCCGCCGCCACAATGCTATCCGGTACAGCGGTCAATTTTTACTGCCGCGTTCAGCTTGTGCAAGTGCATACCGAAGCCGCAGCTGTTCGCGAGCGGCACGCCTTCGACCTGAAAGCCATCTCCGATGCAGCCCTGGCCGCTGAGCGAAAGGCATTGGCGACCAGCCAAGCCGCGGCAAAGAAAATCGAAGCCCTCGATGCCCAACTCACGGAGGAACGCCAAGTCCATGAAGCCGACAGCCACCATTACCGCGCTGCTCTTGCCGCTGGCACTGAGCGGCTGCGCGTCGCCGTCACC